CCCCAGGGACGGCGAGGTCCCGCTCAGGTCCGCGCGGTGCCTCACTCCGCAGGACCCACCAGCAGCCATCGAAAGTGGCGACATCTCGCAGATCGCAGCCCCCCAGGGACGGCGAGGTCCCGCTCAGGTCCGCGCGGTGCCTCACTCCGCAGGACCCACCAGCAGCCATCGAAAGTGGCGGCAGTTTCGCAGATCGCAGCCCCCCAGGGACGGCGAGGTCCCGCTCAGGTCCGCGCGGTGCTTCACCCCGCTGGACCCACCAGCAGCCCTCGAAAGTGGCGACAGTTTCGCAGATCGCAGCCCCCCAGGGGCGGCGAGGTCCCGCTCAGGTCCGCGCGGTGCCTCACTCCGCAGGACCCACCAGCAGCCCTCGAAAGTGGTGACGGTTTCGCAGATCGCAGCCCCCCAGGAACGGCGAGGTCCCGCTCAGGTCTGCGCGGTGCCTCACCCCGCAGGACCCACCAGCAGTCCTCGAAAGCGGCGACCGCTCCGCAGATCGCAGCCCCCCAGGGATGGCGAGGTCCCGCTCAGGTCCGCGCGGTGCCTCACCCCGCAGGACCCACCAGCAGGCCTCGAGAGTGGCGACAGTTTCGCAGATCGCAGCCCCCCAGGGATGGCGAGGTCTAATTTGGGTCCGCGCGTGGCGTCACTGTGCTGGGCCCCCCAGCAGGCATCGAAAGTGGCGACAGTTTCACAGATCGCAGCCCCCCACGGATGGCGAGGTCTAACTTGGGTCCGCGCGTGGCGTCACTGTGCTGGGCCCCCCAGCAGGCCTCGAAAGTGGCGACAGTTTCACAGATCGCAGCCCCCCAGGATGGCGAAGTCTAAGTTGGATCCGCGCGTGGCGTCACTGTGCTGGGCCCCCCAGCAGGCCTCGAAAGTGGCGACAGTTTCACATATCGCAGCCCCCCAGGGATGGCGAGGTCGAATTTGGATCCGCGCGTGGCGTCACTGTGCTGGGCCCCCCAGCAGGCCTCGAAAGTGGCGACAGTTTCACAGATCGCAGCCCCCCAGGGATGGCGAGGTCTAACTTGGGTCCGCGCGTGGCGTCACTGTGCTGGGCCCCCCAGCAGGCCTCGAAAGTGGCGACAGTTTCGCAGATCGCAGCCCCCCAGGGATGGCGAGGTCAAATTTGGATCTGCGCGTGGCGTCACTGTGCTGGGCCCCCCAGCAGGCCTCGAAAGTGGCGACCGTTTCACAGATCGCAGCCCCCCAGGAATGGCGAGGTCTGATTTGGGTCCGCGCGTGGCGTCACTGTGCTGGGCCCCCCAGCAGGCCTCGAAAGTGGCGACACTTTCGCAGATCGCAGCCCCCCAGGGATGGCGAGGTCTAATGTGAGTCTGCGCGTGGCGTCACTGTGCTGGGCCCCCCAGCAGGCCTCGAAAGTGGCAACAATTTCTGATGTCGCAGACCCCCAGGGACGGCGAGGTTTAATTTGGGTCCGCGCGTGGCGTCACTGTGCTGGGCCCCCCAGCAGGCCTCGAAAGTGGCGACACTTTCGCAGATCGCAGCCCCCCAGGGATGGCGAGGTCCAATTTGGATCTGCGCGTGGAGTCATGGCGTCACTGTGCTGGGCCCCCCAGCAGGCCTCGAAAGTGGCGACCGTTTCACAGATCGCAGCCCCCCCCAGGGATGGCGAGGTCTAATTTGAGTCTACCCGTGGCGTCACAATGCTGGGTCCCCCAGCAGGCCTCGAAAGTGGCGACCGTTTCACAGATCGCAGCCCCCCAGGGAGGTCTAATTTGAGTCTGCCCGTGGCGTCACTGTGCTGGGCCCCCCAGCAGGCCTCGAAAGCGGCGACCTTTTCACAGATCGCAGCCCCCCAGGGATGGCGAGGTCCAATTTGGATCTGCGCGTGGCGTCACTGTGCTGGGCCCCCCAGCAGGCCTCGAAAGTGGCGACCGTTTCACAGATCGCAGCCCCCCAGGAATGGCGAGGTCTGATTTGGGTCCGCGCGTGGCGTCACTGTGCTGGGCCCCCCAGCAGGCCTCGAAAGTGGCGACACTTTCGCAGATCGCAGCCCCCCAGGGATGGCGAGGTCTAATTTGAGTCTGCCCGTGGCGTCACTGTGATGGGCCCCCCAGCAGGCCTCGAAAGTGGCGACACGTTCGCAGATCGCAGCCCCCCAGGGATGGCGAGGTCTAATTTGAGTCTGCCCGAGGCGTCACTGTGCTGGGCCCACCAGCAGGCCTCGAAAGTGGCGACAGTTTCACAGATCGCAGACCCCCCGCATGCAAGACAGGAGGAGGCAAGAGGGAGGCGGGACGGGAAGGAGGGAGTGGAGACCACACTGCTCTATTCAAAACGAATACCCAACCAAGGAGGGTTGGGAACTACCTTCCGTATCTTCCACAAATTGCACCGTTCAAGTGATGTAAGATCTGGCAGATCAAGCTAAGATCTGGAAGATCAAATTCAGATCTGGAAGATCAAGTTAACTTAATATCCCACAACATCCCCACAACTACCAGAACTAGTTGTGGTTATCTCAGAGAGGCCGAAAACTGTCAAGAAGACTCTGCTGCGAGACTTGCGCCCGTGCACCGCACCAGGCTTGGACTGCCTTCCGGCCCCGCTCGCGAGCGATGCGGTGCACAACTGGGGAAACCAAAAGGTACCGATACCGCTACTCCCCGGACCTCTCCCGGGGTGCGTTCTGACCAAGATTTCGAGGCGAATCCCGTGGTGGCGACGAGAGAGGCCCAGGATGCCCAAAATGCGGAAAACGAGGAGAGTGTAGAGGTATGGGTACCTTTGCCTCCTCTGAACAACTTGCCGGCCCTGGGGGCCGAACAGCTGCGCACCGCACCACTCCAACGCGGGGGCCTGCGCGGACGGCGGGGCGGGGCTGGACTGGCGGGAGCGCCGAGGAGCAGCCCCGACGGCGGAGGCTCGCCGAAGGGCGCGTGAGCAGCGGCACCGAGCGGGCGCCAGGGACGGGGAGAGGCCGGGAGGGGCCACCAGGGAAGGCGGGGAGCCAAGGGGTGCAGGGTGCAAGTCTGGGGAATCAGGAAGCGCTGAAGCCGGAGCCTGGAACATAATGTTCGGCGAAGAGCCTCGGGAGAGGCCAGCGCGGTACGGTGCACTCAGGCCGTCCGCGGATCCGTCGTGCTTCTTTGCTTCACAACGCGAGGACGTCATCATCAGCTACGAAAGAACCCATAGCCCTCTCGCAGGGGACCTAAGTTAGGAGGGCCCATATCATCAGAGGTAGGAGGCCTTCTCGGCAGGTGCATCAGACCAGACCGCCCAGATCGATTATCCCTAATGCAAAGACGGGGACCTAAATGATGCCACGTCTTCATAATGTTATATTAAGTTTAGGGGTTCTTGTGTTCTCGATAATCAGAGGGCAAGGAGGCGCATCCCCAGGCCACGCTGGACTCGCAGGCCCAATTCGCCGGCCAGCCAGGCAGTCGTGGCGGCCGCGGCGACCGGGCGCGCGGCGTTGAAGGCGAACACCTGGCGGGCCCGGCAGGGCCCAGGCGGGGACGGGCCGCGGCGCCCAGGGAGCGGGAGGCGAAAGGGCGAGGGAGAAAGCCGGGGAAGAACCCTCCTGCTTCCACAGTGGGCGACGGAAAGAGACGGCTCTTATGCGAGAGGACGTAGCGACCTGACGCCGCGACGTAGGCAGCCGCCAGCGTGGCACACCACGTGGAGAAGAGGGCGGGCACGCGCCCTACGCGCGAATGACCGCGCAGTCGACTACAACGCGACATTTTCGTGTCTTGACGACCCCAGCGTTGGTTCCTGACATCGCGCGGCCCGTTCAACCTCGAACGATCGGCGGCCGTTCGATCGTCAGATCTTGCCGATTCTGGGCCACTGGCGGCGTTCAACATTGAACGCCCGCGGCTGGGTCGCCGCCGCATCGACACGACGCGAACCTGCCGAACTCCATTTCAAGTAAAGAGGCGGCGGCAACATCGCAGCGTACGGCCACATGTAAACGCACCAAACGAGCCTACATACACCCAGGCGAAAAATCGATCATGCTGGGCGTGGGTCCCCACCAATCTGACGAGATCAACCGTCTAGCGGCACGCTGCAAGAAGGCAGTGACGCAGATCCCGCCGATGGCCCCGCAACGATCGCGCTTCTGCGGCAAGAACTGGAGACCGACCGCCTTCCCAATGACACTCGGAGCCTTCCACGAATCTAAAGGCAAACATGGCACGCGACAAAATTGACTCTGCCTCGAGCGATCGTGCAACGAGAGTGGCAAGGGGTACAGACTAGAACGTGCCGTCCGCGCACACGCACGTGCGTGTTCTAGTGCCTGCGTGCGTATCCGTAAAAAGCCAAAACTGCTACCCATACTTCACGCCAGGGCCAAGACAGGGTAGCAAAGGAAGCAACAAAGAGCAGGAACGTACGTAGACTGCCACAGATGGGCGCATGGGTGAAGAACAATGGCCCTGGAATCGGTGCAGGGAGAGGGTGGGGAAGAGAAGGGGAGCACAGACGAATAAAACGCGCACCTTTTTTTGCGAGCGCTGAGCTCCCCGTGAATCATCACGAGCCGCACCAAACGCGCGATCCCCCCCCCCTTGACACCAAGCGATTCGAATAGACAACTGTTAACTAGTGGACACAAGTAGATTGGCGTTACACAGTGGCAGGAGCACGAGCAGACAACCACCAAAGTTCGGGCCAGCGGGAAGAGGAGGAGGGAGATAAAGAGGGGAGGGGAAGAAGGAACGCGAGGAAAAGCAGGAAAGGGAGGGGAGGGGAGGACGATGAAGATGAAACAGATGAGGAAGGATAAGCAAGCGTGAAAGGTGGGCACGTGAAAGGAAAGCCAAAGGTACCGATACCACTACTCCCTGGACCTGTCCTCGGGTACGTTCTGACCAAAATTTCAAGGCCTCCCAGGAGACCCCAAAGGGGCAAAAAGGGGAAGGGTGGTGGTATCGGCACTTTGTTTCTTCTGAGTGTGATCATATCGATGCGGCACTGGGGCTCCCCAAGTCCCAGCGCTCACGCTGTCGGCTCGGCACGGGTGCCTGCTGGACGATCCAGATGCCCCCGAAGACAAAGCCGAGCCAACTCAGCACCGGGTCCTACGAGGGCGGTCGTCATCGTCGTCGTCGTCAACTACATGATGCACCTCTAAGCCTCGAAGCCAAGCCAGTGTACTCGGGCAACGGCGCTCGGGGCAATGGGCTCGCCACCGCAAGAAGCACCCCATGTCCTACGCATGTGGCACAGCATCGGCCTCCTCGATGAAGCATTTCCGTATGGGGGGGCACGAAATAGACGATCGGCATCTCATCCATGCCCCTGCTCACGCCATATGAGGGAGCGGAGTGGGGGCATGGATACAAGTGTCCCGTCGCTGGCCTCGCCGAGAAAAGTGCACACGCCCGATCGATGCCAAGTGGCATCATCCGCGGCTCGCCGGGGTAGCCCGGGAGCGTCCGAGCGCAGCAGGAGCCGCCGCGGGGCGACTGTGCCGGTGCAGAAGTGGGAAAACGCGCCTGCGCGGACTGCTCCTGGAGCGACAAAGGCCGGCGATGGGCACGGAACGTCTGGAGTGGACGGCTCGGCGCCTGGAGGCTTCACAAGCCAGTGCCTCCATTAGCAACCTCACAAACAGCAGCCACGACAAGGATGAGTCGCCGAATGCTGGACATTCAAAGTCGCCAGGCCGAACACGCAATCATCTTCGGACATGAGCGAGGCCACGCAAAACGACGGCACAATGCAGGGAAGTGGAGGCAGAAAGAAACTTGGGTGAATGGACTCATCGTTGCCTGTGCATCCTCAACGGTTCGGCCGACTATTTGTAAAACTAGGTGTAGGTCCCCAAAAAGCGGAACGTAAACCATGGGACAAACACGCAGCAAATAGCAAATGGCCATGCAGCGACGCGCAGTAGACCAACTTAATTTGTGTCATTGGTATGCGTGATTAGTGTATGTGCGAGTTGAACGAGGCTGACGGACTGTCTGAATGTCCCTTCATGGCGCCTGCTCCTCACCACTGCTCATGATGTCCCATTGTGGTGTGTGCTATTGATGCGTGTTAGATGCCTGTCTCGGGCGTGTGTGGCTGATACGCAGTATTGGCTGTGTGCATGTTATGTGTGATTTCCCACAATGTGCATCACTGACGTCTGCTCTTGAATGTATACCACTCGGGCTCGTGTCTTCTTGGCCTCGAACGGGACTGGCCCAAAGCACGCCATAAACCTTTCCTAAACTCCAAGATCCAAGACTTCGACCTCGGGAACTGACCGACCCTATCCCAGAAGATGCGTGAAGTGTGTAATATATCCCTCCACTTCGACTCGATCGACATCACCTGCTGCAAGCTCTCCGCTCGGCGGGGCGCTGACCCGCACCCGATTCAGTAAGGATGAGATACGAACACTTGCGTGTACTATGGAGGACGGCGACCTGCGGGCCTTCTTCGCGAGGTTTGCGGAAACTTTCGACCGCGATGAGGTTCCACCCCCAATAGTAGCAACACTCCGAATTGGACGAATGGCGGAATCACATAAGTATTCGGGAAAAGTGCTGGGTATTATGGCGGGACCGGTGCTTGCACGATCGGTTTGGAAGGCCAACGCAAAACAATACAGCACAACTTTGATCAATGCGGCGCCCCCTGCCAATTCGGATTGCAAACGCATGCGGGCACTGACTCACTAGCACACATCCTGCCATACGATTCGGACAACGAGCCCGACACAGTGGCTTTGAGTTTGGATGGGATAGGGGCGTTCGGCCGCGTCATACGGTCAGCATTCTTGTGGAAATCGCGGGCCAGCCCAACGTTATAACAATTCCTGCAGGTAGCTAGGATGCCGCACTCTACATAATCGAAGCTTTTTTGGGCAGACGCAGACATAATCACCCACACGATCGTGAAAGGCGAAAATGGGGAGCAAGGCTGCCCGCTCATGCCAACAGTGTATGCCCTCGCTGGGCACGACGGTCTGGGAGAAGCGGCGCGCCCTCTCCTGCCCACAGAGAGGAGCTTGATCGTCTTGGATGAGTTATCTGCGATCACGACAAAGGTCGGGCAGTCACTACTGAAGGGGCCCTGGGGTACACACATACATACACACACATAAAACATGTCCCCATAGTTTCCCGTAGTTTCTGGATTTTTGTCTTCCCCCCCACTTCCCATCTTTTCCAACATGTTCTGGGGGATCGACGATTAATTGTGCCTGTGTGTCTTTTTCCCTCCTGAAGAATGGTTGAAAGCAGAGTGGAACGACATGCTCGACCACGATCCCACCTGGGCAGGCTCAGAACGCAGGCGGGCAAGCCCCTGCAGACGTACCTGTCCTAGACGAAAACGTGTGGGCAGCTCTCAACGCACTCGAACCTGATGGGCAAGACCCTGGGCATAGAAACGTGTATCAAGACCCACGCCGACAAACGACTACAGCAAGAACCGCAACTGCTACGAGGGATCGAACTGCTGGAGAATCCCCAATGCACGTGGACCAATGGACAATACCCTCCTTGTCGGCCCTCCCACGGGCGAACTACACGGCACGGGTTGTATCACCCACGACGTCCCAATTTTACACCGACGCTTACGAATCGCTGCGGAACACTTTCTGTAATACACTGTGGAACTCAATACATGGCGGCTGGCGTGAGAACACTGCGCGAGCTGCATTGCCCAGCCGGCTTGGCGGCGTAGGCCTACGATCGGCCACTCGCTCAGCACCAGGAGCATGTTGGGCCTACCTATCCTTGTCGCCGAAGCCCCAAGGATTGCAGCTGATATCCGTTGCGAGCCACACCGTGCAAGGGGGTCCACCACGAGAGCTCTGCGGGATCGGCGAAGAGCAGCGTGGCAACTGGGCCAGCACGGAAGCGAACACCAGCCGACGCGGGCGGAAGCCACAACCAGGCGTTGCACCACAAATGCCACCCGAAAACCACAACGGCATCGACGCCGCGGAATTCGACTGGGGTTGGCAATGCTCTGTTCGCTCCGATTATGAGCCATCTTTTCTGAAGCACGTGGCACTTTCGACTTTCGACTACACCCGCAAAACGATGTTACTCACGCGGGCGCTTGGCTTCAAGCTATCCTTTCGGACGCCTCGGACGCAGTGTTCATATTGGCGCCGCTGCGACTTCTTGTATCTCTACGAAGGCGTTTGCGATGAACACTGCCCCTCTCTACTGGAAAATGTGGGCAGTCGTGTTACATTGGATGCATTGGGAGATCATGCGACCTCCTGCCGACGAAGCGGGCGGCTGATGAGCAGATCCGCTCCGTTGGAGTGGGAGTAGAAGTGCACTCTACGGGAAGCGGGCGAGAGAGTTCGGAAAGACTTTTTACGACGAGACAGCGGCCTCCTGAACGTGGATCCTGTCGATGGCCGCAAGATCGAGATAATGGCGACGGGGACTCCGATATAGCATGGAGTCCCCGTGACAATTGACTGCTCTACGATATCACCACTTCATGCCGACGGATCCCCATGGCCACGCTGCAACCACCTCGGGGCTGTCGGTCGACAGGGAATGACACAATGAAGCTACTGCTTACCCTGAGTTACAGAACCGCCCAATCTTACGCGTACTCGTTGCGGCTACGGGAAGAGGACGGCGCAAAGCTGTGGCCGTCAGACTCTTGCACCACGCGTCTGCAACAAAGCTCGGTCAGCACCAGCGGCGCTACAGAAGGCGGCGGCGCAGGCATGGAAAGCACGATGGACGACCATGCCACGCTGGCAGAGGCTGCGCAGGACCCCCTCGCGGCGACAATCATCAACGAATCCACGAAAGGTATGGCGCTTCTGAACGGGATGGATGGCGCCACGCCGTGGCCAATTGATGTGTGGGGTTAAATTAATGGGGGCCTTCTTACGTATCTTCCTCGTCCTCATCCTCCTCTTCGTTGTCGGTTCCTGCCCAGGGCCCCAAATTGGTCGCGCATGGCTGCTACATCGCACGTCAGGACCAAACGTAGCAGGCCGAAAACAATATAAACTATACATACTTCGTGTTTTGAATAGCGTGGTCCCCCCCTCTGGGCCCTCCAGTGCCAACGTTGGTGGAGGTCTCGCCTCGGGGCCAGAGGCCCCGCTGGCTGGTCAGCGCCGTCGATGGCCCCCTTGGGGAAATTTTCTTCGAGTCTGTAGGCAGAACCGAAATCTCTCGCCACCTCCCGAATGATGGGCCCTGACCGTTCGCGACGGCCGCGAAGGGAACGGGCGCCCGAACGACGACCACGAAAGACCCTAAACAATTCCATGCGCCTCAATCGGGACAAGTGTCGGATAAACACTCCGGGCCCAGTGGGGGCCGGAAAAAGAGTTTGTACCTTGCGATAACGCAGCCAGTCGCGCAAAAACATGGTATAAAGATTTCAGGTGTCGATCGGCTCAGTGGGCCCTGCCCGATCGGGCCCGTCGCCGATCGGGCTGGGCAGCGAGTCTGCTCGTTCCTGCGGCCTGCCTGGCCACGCTGGCCAAAGGCCAGCGCCGCTTGGCGCCTCTCCAGTTCGACGCGGGTTGAGGGCGAGTTGGGCAGACGTTGAGAGAGGCCACGCGCGACGCAAAACCAGGTCGATAGACTCTCGAATGGAGCCTGGCAGAAACAAATGAAACAATGTATGCCGTACTGCTTCGTCCCTTGACAAGCAGGTATTGTTATGAACACGCGTTCGGTGTATGTTATTGGCTCATGCTGCTGGTGCGTGCTATGTGTATTTGATTGGATGTATGGTAGTGGCGCGTGGTATTCGTGTATGCTGTTGCCGACGTCTGCTTTGGGCGAATGTTGTTGGTCGATCTGATCGGTGTACGATGCCAATGACAATGTTTGCTAAATGTGTACGTTGTACGCTCGTGGTGTATGTTGTCGATGGCTTTTCTGGGGGCATGCTAGGTGTATGTTCGTGTGCCAGTAGCAAATGATTATGATGCATGCTGTAGCTTAGTTGTGCCTGCTATTTGTAGTTGGCGTTGTATGCGATTCATGCGTGTTAGTGGCACATGATATTGCAGTATGCTGCTGATGTGAAGTATTGGGGGTATGGTATTGGCTCGTGTTCATGATGGCGTGCCTTGGCGTATGATCACTGCGCCTCTTACCCATTCACATGATTGATGTCTAGCGTTGGCTCATGTTCGGACTGTGCGTTTTGGGTGTATGTGATAGATGTACGTCCTCAGAGTATGCTCGCTATGCGCGTTCTAGATGTATGTGGACGGTGCGATGTCGTGACGACTGGACTGTGTGGCCTCTCCCTGGTGGGGTTGTCTGTGAGTTACGCCTGCTCCATCGGCTGGTGCATTGCATTGTCAATTGGGCTCGCGGGGATCCCTGGGGCCCGGCAGCCGCGGCATGCAGCGCGGACGACGCGGGATACCCAGGGACCGCCCGGAGTTTGAGGGCCTGGCGGGCGCGAGATGCAGGGCGGGCAAGGCGGGATACCCAGGGACCACCCAGGAGTTCGAGGGCGTGGCGGGTGCGGCATGCAGGGCGGGCGAGGCGGCATACCCAGGGACCACCTGGAGTCTTGGGGCCTGGCTGGCGCGGTCTGCAGGACGGGCGAGGCGGGTCGGCAAGCTTTGTCCTGAAATTGTAGCAGCCCCAACCTGTCCGGGGGAATAACCCCAGCCTGCCTGGTGGGGAACGGCATGCAGCCTGTCGCTTTTGTCTGGCATTGTCAGTGATGCCATGGTTCTGTCGATGTCGCCTGCCATTTCTCAACCATGGCCTGTCGTTTTCGTTTGTCACGGTCCTGCCATTTTATGACATATGCAGGGACAACTGGGACACTTGGGGCCTGGCGGCTCAGGCAGGTGGTGCGGTCGGGTTGTCTTTGTTTCGAGATCTAACACATCCAGACTGCCGGGTGAGAAGCACCCGCTTCATATCATGTCAGTGCGGGGGAGAGGGAGGAAAGGGGAGAAGGAGAAGAAGAGTCAATCATGATATCGTGCTCGGCAGACCTGGCCCCGAACACGAACGACACTGGAAGCTTCGCAAATCACGTTGGCTTTGCGCTTACTGCCCGAGCCGCACTACTACCTCCTGGGCGGTCGAGGGTTCCAAATCGAGGTCAAGATAAGCAAGGGTCCTGGCGTGTGACCCTAGCAGACGACCCCTAGTATTACCGTGGCCCTGGAAACTGCAGGCGGTCCTTAGCGCCACCAGCCGCCGCCCAGATCAGCAGCGAGCAGGCCGCAACCCCGATGGAGAAGTACACCTGGAGGGGTCAGACGTCGGCCACCTCCCGCTGCTGCTCCTCTTCTCCTTTTGGCCCGCCTCTCTTGCCCCCTCCTGGTATTCCCCGCTCCACCCGCGCTTCATGTTCCATCCCCTCGCTTTCCGACACCTTCTTCTCCTCGTTCTGCTGCTCTTCCTCCCCTTCCTCGTCCTCATCCCACTAATGACCCATCGTTCCTCATCCTGCTCCTCTACCCTCTCCTCCTCTGCCCCCTCCTCCTCCTCCTCCTACTCCTCCTCCCCCTCCTCCTTCTCCTCCTCCTCCTCCTCCTCCCTCTCCTCCTCCTCCTCCTCCTCCTCCTCCTCCTCCTCCTCCTCTTCCTCCTCCAACCACATCTCCCCCTCCTGCGCATCATCCTCCTATTAGCCCTCCCCACGCTTGCCCTCAAACTGCTCTGCCTCTGCATCCCCCTCCTCCTTTTACTCCGTGTTCTTCCGTTGCGCCGGCACGAAACCTTAGAGAGAAAACTAAATCAATCAAACCATGCAGTGCCCGATGGTACACGCGCCAAAAGGAGCAGGGTCACGAAGGGCAGAGGCAGTGTCTGAAGCGTGGAAATAATGGCAATTCGCATAAGAAGCCTGGGATCATGGACATAAAGACTGAATAACAGTTGCGCGCACTGACTGCGCGTGAAATGAGAGAGGCGGACAACTGCACACGGGACTGAGCGAGAAATCGCTATGACCGCGCCGCATCCCCCTCATCCAGCACACTTCTCCTCAGCGTGGATCCTCTTCGCCTGGGCTTCGCTCCGCGCGATCCACGTCGGGGTCCCCTTCGCCTGGAATCTGCCTCGCTCAGGGCGCGGGCAATGCAGGCCAAGGTCGGCGTCTTGAGTGGAAGGGCGAGGCGAAGCCGAACATCATCTCCCGCCCATTGCCCAGAAAACTCCGCGAGCTACAGGGGCCCATACGGCCCCTTGGCACCAGGGCGCCGCACCACGGAGCGGCAGCGCGTCCGCGCCTGAAAGATCATGGAGTCGACGTTCGCTTCCTTGATGGCCGGTGTCTTCAGGAGGATGCCGTAGCAGCCTGCCCGCTGGCCATTCCGTCGGTCGGCCCGAAGGGGCTCGGCCGCCCCAGTCGTATTCCGAGCATTCGCTCGCGGGTGCCCACTCCCCATCGCCCAACCTCTCAGGAGGCAACGCCTGGGACGTCTTCGTCAGAACGAGTTAGGGCTATTGAGCCCAGGATGTAGCCGGATAGAGCTGGACTAAGCCTGATGGAAATAAACCGGTGTCAGTGGGATTATGCCGCATTCGGCCAGTTGTCAAGCAGGGGTGCACCAGCACAGAGTCCGAATGTAACCTCCCAGACATTGCATCCCAAACCCTCCCTCCCTCTCCCCTCCGCTCCCCCTTCCTCATGAGACGAGCTGAAACTCGCTTGGCGGCGCGCATGGAGGGAATCGGGCGGGGGAACCGGGCGCCTCTGGCGCCGCCCCTGGCGCGCTCCGCGCCACAGGGAGGGGGCTCAAGCGACGGTTCGATCAATCCGCGCGGACCTCCGAACAAGTATGTTTGTGTCAGTGTCTGTCCCCCGATCCATGGGCGCTCCACGAAGCCCCCAGGGGTACAAGAGGAGGGTTATGCTGGGTCCCTCCGCAATGGGCCTCCAGGGAGCTCGCAGGGCCAGAGAGGGCGCCTCCGCCGACCAGGGGGCTCTGCCTTACCGCCGACAAGAGATGACCTGGACCAGGACGGCTTCAGCCGACCATGTACAGCGCACCTCTCGAACAAGGCCCCTTCATCAGGGCAAGGGGACCTATACTTATCTACGTACTGCCCCATGCCTGGCCAATCCCGGGCCCAGGAATGTGGATGCATCCCTGACCAAGCCAGGAGGGCGTGCGCACCGCCCACGGGCCCAGGACGGGCCAAGCCTGGGCAATAGATGTATAGATCCCGTCGCCTAATCATGGGCTCACGGGTGCACTCCGCAACCAGCCTGTCACACAGTGAGACCGCATGCCAGGGAGGCAGTGTCGGGCGACCCGAGCCGAGCTGTGCAGCCTGGTGGCAAGGACTCCGTTTCCCCCGAGCGTCCCAACCTACACGGCGAGAAATGGCAGCCAAACTAGACCCGGTGCGGAGAGCAACGGTAGAGGCCTCCTAGAGGGGGTCCGAGTAGATGAGGCCGGAGAATCGCGCCGCATCGTCGATGCATCGGCGATAACATCGCCGATGCATCGGCAACGCATCGGCGACGTCGGCGACGACGGCGACGCGTCGGCGCGGAGAAAATGTTGCTTCGCATCCAGCCGCATGGGCGATGCATCGGCGATGCGGCGCGATCCTCTGACCCCATCTACCCGGACCCCATCTGCAGTCGAGCTGTTCAAACAAGGAACGCTAAATAAGGAGCGATGCCCATGTTTGACCCGATAAGCGCCTGCGTGCACGAGGAGCGCTAGAGAAAGAGCCATCCGAGCCCCTTCCGAACCCAAGCCGTTCCCTATTTCAGCGTCTTGGCTGCAGGAGGCCTCGGGATGGTGTAGGTGGTCTGGAGACGGGGAGGGTCCGGCCAACCCCTGCTTGCGGCCGGGGAGCTGGAGGGAGCGGGGGGAACAGGTTCGGGAGACTCTCCATGGGATCCCCAGGGGATCCTATGGGATCCCCCCCCCTGGGATCCTATCCCCCCATGGGATCCCCCCCCATGAAGAGTCTCCCGACAGGTGAGAGAACGGGCCGCGCCGTGACTGCCGCGGCGAAGCTGCGGCACCGCCAGTTGGAGCCTCCGCCTGGTGGTACGGTAGGGTCGCGTCGTGTCGACCCCAGCGGTGTTCGCTGACACCGCGGGGAACGTTCAACCTTGAACGATCAGCAACTGCCGAGACGTGAGCTCGTCCAACATCGGCCGACGTTGGGTCGCTGGCGGAGCTCAAAGTTAAGCGTCAGCGAGCCGGTCGACACGACGCGAACCTACCGTAAGCATTCGACCCTGCTTCCAGCCCTCGAAGGCTGCGGGCAGCAACTCGAAATCAATTGCCGCCCTGCCCCCTTTCCCGCTCCGTTCCACCGAGAGGCCATTCTTTATCTTGCGGCGAGACGCGTTCAGGTCAGGATCACATGATTGCTGGCTCCCCAACTGAGAAGAAATCCGCCGGCCCCCTTGTGGGGCCACCAGGCTGTAGGCACGGGTTCGCAGTTTCCAGTACCAGTTGTAGCTTGTAGTTTCCAGTGTTACAGTTCTGCTTCTTGCTGGTTACTGTAACTAGTTGATTGACCGCGCGAGGGGGGGGAGGCCCAAACAGGATTTTCCAGCGTCCCCTCGGCGCGTTGTCTGAATTGCTGGGGGGGCTCCAAATCAACACCCCTCACGCAGATCCGCGGGGTCAGGGTCCAAAAACACATAGGAGATTTGCCACATTTCTGAAATTCGGTGCCACCCCTCACGCAGATCCGCGGGGTCAGGGTCCAAAAACACATGGGATTTGCCACATTTCTGAAATTCGGTGCCACCCCTCACGCAGATCCGCGGGGTCAGGGTCCAAAAACACAGGGGATTTGCCACATTTCTGAAATTCGGTGCCACCCCTCACGCAGATCCGCGGGGTCAGGGTCCAAAAACACAGGGATTTGCCACATTTCTGAAATTCGGTGCCACCCCTCACGCAGATCCGCGGGGTCAGGGTCCAAAAACACAGGGGATTTGCCACATTTCTGAAATTCGGTGCCACCCCTCACGCAGATCCGCGGGGTCAGGGTCCAAAAACACATGGGATTTGCCACATTTCTGAAATTCGGTGCCACCCCTCACGCAGATCCGCGGGGTCAGGGTCCAAAAACACAAGGGATTTGCCACATTTCTGAAATTCGGTGCCACCCCTCACGCAGATCCGCGGGGTCAGGGTCCAAAAACACAGGGGATTTGCCACATTTCTGAAATTCGGTGCCACCCCTCACGCAGATCCGCGGGGTCAGGGTCCAAAAACACAGGGGATTTGCCACATTTCTGAAATTCGGTGCCACCCCTCACGCAGATCCGCGGGGTCAGGGTCCAAAAACACAGGGGATTTGCCACATTTCTGAAATTCGGCGCCACCCCTTACGCAGATCCGCGGGGTCAGGGTCCAAAAACACAGGGGATTTGCCACATTTCTGAAATTCGAACCCATCACGCACATCCATCGCAAGGCGTGGTAACCCAAACTGCGAGAACTCCCTCGGCCCTTTCATCGCAAGGTGTGGTAACCAAGCCCTTAAACCATACACGTCTTACCAATCGCCAGGTGTGGTAACCCCTCTTGTGATCAGTTGGTTTTGCTGATTGCGACTCGGCTTCGCATGAAGTTTCGATACTGCTTCACGACAGCGCCAAGGCCTCATGACTTAGCTCTTCCATGGCCCATTCTCCGAGAGAGGGGGCCGGCGGCAGGGGGCGAAGCCCTTACGGATAAAAGTAAACCCTAACCCTTTGGGAGGGACCTCAGTTAGGAGGCCAACAAAAGGTGAGCAGATGTATCACACGAAATTACCTGTATGTTTAGGGATATTCCCCCCCAACAAAAAAACGTGAATCTACGTTAGGCCACTAGTTAATCATGCAATTAGGGTCGGTATTTAATACGCGTAATGACAACAGCCTCGCAGGTCAACACCCTCGCTGCCTCCCAACGTGCGCACAGCGACCCGCTGCTGCGCGAAGCAGCCCCAAGGGAAAGAGCACCGCGCGTCTGGCGCCGAGCTGACCTGCCGCCTGCTTCCCGCCCCCACTCGCTGGCCCCTCCCTGCCCGCGCCCGTCCGAAGATGATGATGGCCGCGAAGGTTCCCAGCCATCCGACCAGCGCCGACGTGTCTATCTGGCCCGCGTCGGGTACCCTCGCGTAAGAGAGCGGCGGGCGCATGTATGTAGGGCGGCGGGGTCTGTACATACCCTCTGCTCTTCGCCAGGCCCATCCTGGGGCCCCGAGCAGTGTATACGCCCTCCTGGCTTGTGCAGGGAGGCGTATACACCGATCCTGGACCCGGGCTGGGCCTGGCCAGGAGCAGTAGACATGTACAGACCACGTCGCTGTCGCCCCCCCCCCCCCGACACGTGCGACACGTGCGACACGTGCCCCTCTGCCTTCCGCTTGTGAGCTGACGCGCCGTGTTGACGTCTGCAGCGGGACCCGGCACGCTCAGGATAAGCATCCCGTCTCACTCCTCTGAAGCTGCCCCCCCTCTCAACGCGTAAGGGGCTTTGGATGGGACCAAGGTCTCCCACATTCTCGCGCGGAACCCCCTTCGACGATCCTCAGAACGTGTGTCAGCGCCAACGTGCGCTTGTCCGCCGAAGCCCTTCGATACGACGCAGGCGGTGTAACGATGAACAACGCAGGCCGAGCGGGGTACACAGCCATTGGGCGAACACACGTCCTGTGGATCGTCGACCCCTTCACACAGGTGCCCGACCAATGACAGACAGACAGACAGACAGACAGACAGACAGACAGACAGACAGACAGACAGACAGACAGACAGACAGCAACCAGGCGCTTAACAGCGCAAAGCCGAAGATTACGAAATATCGCACAAACATGATTGGTGCGCACTGTACACTGAATGAAGCGTGCCGGAGCCAAACAGGAAGGAGGGGAGAAAGACGAGGAAAGGGAGAGAGCAAAGGGAGAGGGACAAGGGGAGGAACAGGAAGAAAGACGGGGAAAGACAAAGCGAGCAGATCTACCCGAGCGGCGGCATCGCGTCCGACAAGATGTGGACCGCTACTCTCCCACGCGGCTTCAAGATGGCCCAGGACGGGCACCAACGTTCCAAAACCAGCCCACAGCGACCCGGAGCCCTCCCCCGAGAGCCCATGGTGTCCCCCCCAAAAAAGTCCAAGGCGCATTCAGAACCGAAGAATTTTCTGTGTGGCTTGCTTCCCGAGCATTTCGGTCCGCGATGTCCAAACGACAGCCTCAGAGAGGCTCAAAACGTCCTTAGCGAGCCTCAGTAAATCCCAATAAGTCACCGATAGAGCCTCAATATGGCTTAGAATCCAAAGATGATTGCGCCGACGCGCCCCGAACTTACTCCGAACGCCCCGAAACAGCCGCCCGGACCCGCCAAGACGGCCCCGACATGGTTCTACAAAGCCTCTTCAGGAGAGCTCGGTAGAACCGTTGAAGGCATCCCACAGGTCCCAAACACGACCTCCAAAAGCTCCACGAGGTCCTGGAGAGGGCCCGAAGAGCCACTCCCACGAGCCGACACTATTACGGACGCCTGAGGTAGATCAGTAGCGGCAACATTACGCCTCTCTTACAACTCACTCCCCTCCAAATTCACACTGTAGGTCCCTGAAGCCCCCTGAAGGTCACTGGGAACCACTGCAAATCTCTGGAGGCTCTCAGCAACTCGAGGCTCCACGTAATCCCGTGGAAACCCCCTGGGTGACCCTTGCGATGTCCCTGGGGTGCAGTCTCATGTCCTGGACGCACCCAGGAAGCCACTGGAGAGACTTTTGAAAGCCTCTGCCAGACCCCTGGAGGACAGGGAGGCGCCTCGTAAGGCCCTGGATGATCCTGGAAACAATGAGAAAGCCCACGCTGGGAGGCCCTGGAGGGGACGGCCGTGGAATTCCTTTCGGACTCTTGAGGCCCCAGGGAGGTCCTTGCACGCCACTGGGAGGTCATTGAAGGTCCCTTGGGAGGGCCTTGAAATCCACGGAGAGACTCCTGAGGACGTCTCCGGCGCGTTCGTGTCATGACGACACCGGCGTCGATTCTGACACCGCGCGGACAGTCAACATTCAACGATCGGCGGCTCTTCGATCGCCAGAACGTTGAATACTGCGCGATTCTCGACCACTGGCGGCGCTCAACCTTGACCGATGTAACGTCCCAGGGGATCGAGGATCGAGGGACAAGGTGGGTGAGAGTAAGACTACTCGAGGGTCGAGAATCGAGGATCGAGAACCGAGGATCGAGGGGGGATGTCCCCCGCGGCGACTTCACGAGGCACAGCCGCCTTCTGGGATGGGCCCGGTGCACGGCCAGCAGGAGCGCCACCAGCACCACGTCGATCAGCGTCACCGCGGCACAGACGCGGAGGTGGCTGCGCGTCGACTGCAGGGGAACAAGCACAAACAGGAGCATGAAACCTCGGAGGTCCGCGCGGACTTCTCGGACCGGCGCTGGGCCCCACTCCCTGGCGCGCGGAGCGCGCCAGGGGCGGTGAGTGAGGCGCCGCCGGGGTGCTCCAGCGCCGATCCGAGGAATCCGCGCGGACCTCCAAACTTGCATGTTTATGCCATTGTTTGTTCCCCTCGATTGGGCGTACGCCATGCGAGGCAGCGAATGCCCGTCTATTGTATACAGTATCTATCGGAGGAGGGGTGGGAGAGAGCACAAGGGGCCAGGGCGAGGGGAACAGCCTTCCTTCGAAATACCCCGAACGAAGCTCTGTCAAGACCATGTCGTGCCGCTACTGGAATGCGCCAACCCACGTTCTCTGCACGCCGCAAAGACCCTCACATCCCATGCCGCAATTTGCTCGTGACGCTGACCCCTAAGACCTATTGCCTCCTTTATCTGGGCAACCTGTTCTTGCCGGGCAAATGATGCCCAGGGGCTGAAAAATGAGAGCGAATGTTTGCCAGCGTGGCGTCCACACAGATGGTCATCACACTCTTGAAATGCAATACGTATTGTGCAATCTGAGCAAGGTGTGATACTTTTACTGTGCAGCGCATTTGAAAAACGTTGTCAACCACAATGCTCGAACAAACATCCTTCCCGCCCACACAAACGTGTTGGCGATATTCACCGGGCCGTGGATGCAGTTACATGTCGGAGTGTGTTACCCAACCTGAACAAGCGTAATGACGCACATAGCTCCCCACGTAGATTCATGACTTGGGCGGACGAGTGAACATGTTGGGAGTGGGGAATCTGAAGTAAGTCCCATCGAAAGCCATGTGTGTTTACATGACGTTTGAAATCTCATGTTGGCATGGTTCCAACATCGATGTGTGTTGAACGAGCTCGACATGTGCGGGCGCGTGAACGCGCGCGTGTGACCTGCATGGTGCTATGTGCTGGATGCTGTTTGCGCTCACACATGGGACGCTGTTATGGACACAACCACTGTTGTTGCACATGTGTTCGAAGCCCTCCGCATGTTCAAATGCTTGGATGCCCGATAGTGGAGCAATTGGACATGCGCGCGGGGGAGCACACGTGCGAGTGTGCGGCCCACATGGTATAACACAAAGAAGTATAGTTACAAGGCGCGCATCTTAGATCAACGGCTGCGCACCGCATGACATTACTGAGCAGGGGTGGTGGGGGTGACACAACAGCGATTCGGCAAGGCTTTAGTTCATACATAAGATGAACGACCATGCCGAACAACAATGACAACAGACGCAGAATGGTACCGCTAAGCCTGGCCTCGGCGGCATGGGGGTGGATTCTGAACTCTCTCAGAACAGTGTCTGTTGTTGCTCATTACATGCTGTTGGTCGATGGGGTGCAATTCGCGCGGTACACTCGGATAACGGGATGCGACCTACGTGTGCAATAAGTGATGCAGCGCACCAGGCGGCCAAGACGTAGCCCTGGCCGCGACCGACAGCCAAAAAGTAATCAAACAAATCATAGGCCTTTAGTGCAAAACCTGGTTGGAGTAACAAACGCCAGGGAAGGGCAACTCACGACGTAGCAGGACGAGAAAGGAGGGAGGAGAAGGACGAGGAGGAAGAACGCAAGGAAGAAGGGGGAATCGGAGGCGCGAGAGAACGAAGGGGGCGACACGAAGGAGTGAGGACGAGAAGCGTGGGCACGGGATGGGCTGGGATGGAACTCTGACGGGCGGCCGAACCGTTGTCCTGCCGCCGCGGCAGGTCCCGAAGGCTCACAGCCCGACGCCGAAGAAGTGCACGCGTGCGACGTGCCCGAACACGAAGAAGGACGACGGACGCGAGCATTTAGAGGCAAAACAAGACGAAGCCAGGACGAGAATAAATCTGGGAGGGGGTGGACGAATTGAGAATCTCTGAGATCCGGCGGCTCTGGAGGATGTTTCGGGCGCCGTGCCCCTCTCAGAGGTTCCCGGAACGCTCTGAGAGCGTTCTGCGACGCCCTGGAACGGATTATCCTCGTTCTAGCCCCGCGCGACGGAAGTCCCCTGGCCTTCTGAGAAGTGTTCTAAGCCTTCCCAAAAGACACAGAAAAACTGCTCCGGAGGCCCGAGGCCTTCTGAGAAGCCCCGCGGCCTTCTGAGGAGGCCTTCGCCTTCCCACTTCCCCGCCTCGCTCGCTCGTCCTGGCCCCGTCCGAGAGGACGAAGGGGGGGAGGGCGGAGGGAGGAGGTCTGGGGCCCCCGCGGCCGGCGGAGAGGAGCCGCGGCCGCCCTTCGGCCGCCGAAGGCCAGCGCGCCGCTGCCGGAGCCACGGCAGCTGCGGCCTCCCTGTCTCCTCCTGTGCCCTCCACGCTTGTCCTGCGTTCTCCTCCCTCCTCCCATTCTCGCTCCTCTCTCCTCCTCCCTCCTCCCTCCTCTCTCCTCCCTTCTCCTCTCCTCTCTCCTCCTCCATCCTCCCTCCTGCCTCCTCCTTCCTCCCTTCTCTTCCCTTCTCCCTCTTCCTGCCTCCTCCTCCTCCGCCCCCCCATCCTCCTAGTGATCCTGCTGTTGCCCCTGCTCCTGCTAATTGCTCGTCTGCCTCTGCCTCCTCCTCCTCCTCCTCCTCCTCCTCCTCCTCCTCCTCCGCCATCCCCTGTCCTTATAGCTCCTCCCTGTCGCGCCCCGAGGCCTGTCGAAGCGACGGGCCGGGCGTTTCGCCTGAGACTTCCTCGCCATATGTGATCCTGAAGCTTGAGAGTTGCAACAACTTCACGGATCAAGGGTACTTCGACTTCAAGATGTGGCGCTCGCCGCAGCGCCGCGCACTCTCGTGAAACCTGTGCGAGAACGTCACGGATGGAGGGCGGGGCGTCTTCGAAATGTGGCCATCGCCTGAGCGCCGCGCACACCCAGTCGGGGATGGACAGACCCCCCTTTAGTAAAGCGTGGTTTAGTGAAACCGACCTGAGGCCCAAACCTGGCAGGCGCAAGCCTGGAAAAATAACGGCCACGGCGCCCCCTCGAGAACCGACAACGGACAACTCACGAATCGACGTGTCACCGTTGGGGGTTCTGTCCAGCCCCGAAGCT